TTAAAAGCCCTCAATACATGCCAACTATGATCCACTGTTCTACAGCTGACAACTTGGTTAGCTAAAGAGATCACAGGTGTGGGCAACATATGAGCAGACATTTCCAGGAGGAAATTGGGTCAGGCAACTGGACCCCAAGCTGAGTCTTCTATGCCTCTCTCTGCCCTATAATCAGATGGCCCACAATAAAGGTTCAAATCGAGCTTATGCTAAGAGCAGCGCCACAAGTAAACCCAAAAATTATTTCCTCCAGGTTTGGCTAGTTGTTTGAGCACTAAAAAGTGTGTTTTTATCCAGAAGTATGTTTCTGAGCAAGGAATAATCAAGCTCTTAAAAGGGCACTGATAGAAAAGCAGTTGCCCATCCAAGCCTGCTTTAATGAGAAGGGTCAAATAAGTCATTGGGGTCGCCTACCCTAGACAGACACCGATCAGTGCTGCTCAGAGGTAGCAATGTTGAAGTAGGGAGGAGTGCAGGCTTGGGCTCAGTCTCCTTACTTGCTTTGGCACCTTATTTGGCACTCACCGTAGCTCCAGAGTCCGTGTCTCCTCTCATCTGTCCCTCTGTGAAATGATGCATTTCTTGCTATGTTAACAAAGACCAGGACTTTATAATCCTCCTGTGAAGGTGGGGAAACAATAGGTCTGCTGGGATCTGGATGCAAATCCAAGAGATTTTCATTGCACTTCCTGAGCCCCCTGAGTGCTGGTTAAGGCAGCTTTGGGACTTGAAAGGAAGCATCAGGCAGTACATGCTATTTGTTCATTGGGGACACCTGGAGGACACTAAGATGCCCAGCACTGAGCACCTGCTCTGCTCTTCCCAAAGAGCCATCCCCAAGAATTGCCTGGTGGCAGATAGGGGCAGAGAGGAGCCAAGAGGATGGTTAAGACACTGTCCTTCTGGGGCAAAGGAAGCCATGAGGAATTTCCATTTCTAGAGAGAATAAGTAAAGTACTTCCCAATTTCTGCTGAAAAGAAATCAAGCAGTGTCACTAAAGAAATAGATGTGAGTACTTTAAAAGACAGGGAGTGTGTTAAGGAAAAGTTCTATCTTTATTTTCAATCACCATTATTCCCTATGTGCAGGCATAATCTATAATGATGGAACAATATCCATCCCTCTCTCCCGGTAATACTCTTAGAGATCATACAATAAGTGATGTAGTAGAAAATCCATTATCTATTTCTGGATCTGTCATGTAGTGGCTGTTCAATGATGAGCAAGTTACTTTAACTCTTTCAGCCTCTTATGCTTCAACTTATAAACGATCAATAATGGTTCTTTCATGGGCTCCTTGTTAGAGTATTTGAATGCAGTAGATGAGGGCATTCAGGAAAGGGCTTGGTACATCAAACATGCTCCATATACTCCCTTTCTTTCCCAGTAGGAAACTGAGAACTGGCTTCAGTGATCTGTCTGGAATCCTCAACATTCATAGTCAGAGTTCTGGATTTGTTTAACAAACTTTATTCTAGGATACATTTCAGCTTACAGAAAAGTTGCAAAGACTGAGTTTGTATATGTCCTTGGCCCAGTTTCTTTAATGTTAACATCTTATGTAACATTGATACACTTATCAAAATTAAAGAAGTAATATTGGTATTTATTAACTGAAATTCATATTAATTTGAATTTCACCAATTTTTTCCTCTGGTATGTTTTCTCTTCCAGGACTTCTTTATCCATTAAGTTTCCTTAGTCTCCCCTTAACTTCAATATTGCTTAAGATTCTCAGTCATGTTCACTCATCAGTCATCCCCTCTTCCCTTTCCTTCCAACATGGAAAGCAGATAATGTAGAGGTGATTCTGACTCCTGTTAATTCTTCTCCAGGTTCTAGTGTGTTCTGCAAAGTAGAAAATAGGATATTTCAAAATGGAATCCACTTAAGGTTACTATCAGTTCCTGGGTTTATCCTGGTGGTTCTTTCCATCAGGAGGCCAATTTCTGTCTTCCAGGGGCTAAATCCCAATAAAAATCTCCCCATATCTGTCATATATCCCTTTTGTCTTTCATGGAAGTACTAACAATTGTATAGATCTGAAACTTGATAAAAACCTAAAGGTAAATCCTTTTAATGATTCTTATATATTACTAAAATACTGACCTCTCTCTGACAAAATATTTTCTCTAGCTTTTTTAGCACTTTACTCTGTGATGTTTTCTTTATCCTAAAACTAATATGTGTGAAACATATATAGTATTAATATATATGACTAATATCAGGCTGTCTCTTAAATCTCGGATAAGAAAGTGACCAATGGAAATAGACAGTTAAACTGTTATTTTTTAAAAATTGGAGTTCCTTTATTCACTGTGCTTTACCCAGATATTAACTAGGTGCCAATGCTATCCTCTACTTTTTTCCACCCCTAAAAGAGTAAAGCATGTGTAAAATTAAGCTAGTAATTACTCTCTAATTCAGTAAATAAATAGGTAAGTCTTTAAATTAGAAGATGGTGTACAAATCGAGACTGAGGATAGGTTGCCCTTAAATATATAGAAACAAGATGCTTGACAAGTTAAGATTACTTGCTATTGAATCAAACAGAGGTAGTCAAACTTATTTTAACTAAACTATGTACCTGGTCCAGGTACCAGCCACTAAATACATCAGTTTCCACTCTATAAAATTAAGACTCCTAGAGAAATATAAAGAGATAATATATATAAAACACCAAGCTCATTTGCATGTTTGCTTTCAAATATATACCTCCCCCTCTTTATTGCAAGAGGTTAATCCCTACATTCTAGTTTCCCAGGCTTCCTTGTGATCTGGTTTCCAACTGTTTAGGCATTGCATAATTTGGCAGAAAAATCCACCAGATCCCCCAGGTGAGGAAGATTAGTGTCCTTTCTTCAACAGGCAATGAGAGCAAGAAAAAAAATGAGATAATCAAAGTTGGAGAAAAGGGAAGTAAGGCAAGGAAAATGCAAATCCATGCAATTATGATATTAAACAGTGATTGAGTGCGTCAAAAAAGGCAGTAGATCCAGTGGGTTTGCTCATCAGAAGAATTGCAATGAGGATCTCCATCTTACTATGAGTAGTTCCTATGAGGGGAGGGAATTTAGTTGAATCACAACTTATCTCCCAATTCTTACCAGGTAATGTTCACCTCATGGAAAACTAACTCCTTATATTTTTTCTTAGTGTAGGTGCCTATAACAGCTGTTTGTTTAAATATCTGTTTCATCTAAATCTGAAAGTATGTATATGGAGTGGTGACCCACACCAGTATGGTATTCAAGGTGCCAGGTTCAAGAGGATCTGAAATAGTTTATAAGATTAGTGTCCAAAACGCCTCCCTGGAAGGCAGGGGTGAGGAAAAATCTTCCAACTATATAGAACTTGAAGTAAGATGTCCACTTTGCTTGAAAAAAATGAACTGATGTGTACTATGTTTACCAAAGTGGTTGCCTCAGTTGTATCTAAAGGTTAATATCTGGATCAGGGCTTGAAAAAACAAAACATTAAAATTTAAAGACTGACAATAATGAATTATGGATAGATGCATGTGTGAAACTTCTAAGAAAGGGTCCCCACCCTGATAATTGGCTATTAGACCAGACTTGTCACTCATTCCAAATTCTTCCCATTTACTAGCAGGACTTTATATTTCAGTGATAAGGAGGAATCTCTGCACTATTTATCCTAAGGTTTAGACATAATTCTTTGCTCCCATAATGTACCAGTAACCCAAGTTCTCCAAGCCTCCAACCTAGACACTTAGCTCATCTACAGAATATTTTCTTTCTACACCTATTAGCATGGTGGTGAAAGGGTCATTTCCACTACCTTTTCTGAATAAATATGACCGAAACTGACTATCTATATAGTAGTTGTTAGTTTTAAACATTATTCACAATAGCCAAAAAGAGATGGACGCCTCCCAAGTGCCCATTGACAGCAAAAAAGGATATATATATACTATATACACCTATAAATATGTAAACACAATGAATGTTATTCAATCTTAAAGAGGAAGGAAATTATGTCACATGCTACATGAGTGAATTTTGAGGACATATTATGTGAAATAAATCAGTCACAAAGGGATTAAATAGTGTAGTGTTGCATTTATATGAGGGACCTAGTATAGACTAGTAGAGTCAGAAAATAGAATAGTAGCTGCCAGGAAAAAACAGGAGGGAGTGAGGGATTATTATGTAACAAAATTTCAGAATGGCAAAATGGAAGAAGTTCTGAGAATGGCTGGTGGTGGTGCCTGGTGAATGGATTCAATACTATTAAACTATGCACTTAAAGTGATGGAAATGGTAGTGTTCTATCACTTTAAAAAAATTAATAATCAGAATTCCTAGCTCAATGACAAAAACAGGGCGGCACTCACTGTCCCCTGCCTCCTCACCACTCACTGGTGGGATACCAACCTTGGCATCTTGTGGAATAAACCCTCCCCTGCTCCCCCCAACTTCCCCCTTCCTCCCCCTACCCAAGTTAAAAGAATTTCTAAAGAAAACGTTCACTTCTGGAAATGGGAAACAAAGGGCATGTGGGGGGAGGGCACCCCGGGGAGGGCCCCACCCACTTTCCTCAGCCAAGCCTCCCAGAAGCAGCTCCACAGGTGGCTCAGCTGTGGGTGCTGGTAGATCTGTGGCAAAGAAAGTGGCATGACCTCTCCACGCAGCAGAGAGATATTTCACTGTAACATTTTAGATGAGAAAGAAAAAGGGGGCGCACAAAGCAAGGACAAAATGCTGTATACTTTACTCAGTCGCAGTCTCCAAGCCCTGGGGGACCTAAGGGGGAGGCTCCGGATCATCAGAAGCTTCCAGCCTACCACCCCTGGGCTTCCGATTCTGTCCACCCGGTTTCTTCCGCAACAGTCCTTTCCTCCTCCCACCTCTTCTCCCAGCCCTCCAGTCTCCTCCCTCCCACCGCCCCGCCCACTCTCCTCCCTCTACCCTCCCGCTCTGACGGGAAATCGAAAGTGAAATAGAGAACTACCTCGGCCAAGTGCCCCAGTAAAGGAGTGCACGGTCTCCACCAGGCGACCCTTCCCTGAGGCGCCTCACCCTCCTGCTCCAGATCTGAAGAGCCGCTTCCATCCTGTCAGTACCCCTGGAGACCTCAGTATCAACCCCTTCTCATCTCTTCACCTAATTTCTGCAGTTTCCATCTGGTCCTTCAGCCCGGGAGGGGGCGGGGCTGAAAGTCACCTGGAAGGAGCTGGGGCTGGCACCTGAGCAGAGGTAAGAGGGCAGAGGCTGGGAGAACCTCGAGGAATGCAATTTAGCCTTGGGGGGTGGGGGTGGGGCTCGGGAAAGGTAGGTCTGTATTCCTGAGACTCCCACCCCTATAAGTCCCCCTCCAGAAGTGAGAGATGCCTGGTGTTTAGGATGTTAGAAATGAAGACAGGTGACATGTTTCAAACAGCTGAGTGAGGAGTTGGGGCAGAGGCGGGGGCCTGCTGGACCACACACTTCCTGGGTGTCCACAGGTGATCATAAACTTAACAGACTGAAGAGTAAAAATGTCCTCATGGGCATAGGATATACTAATGACAACCTCCACCTACATGTTGTGACTCCCCAACAACATATCTATCAGTAAGATGCTATTGAGCTGAAGCCTTATAACAATCAACACATACTTTGTATGTTAGGTGTATTATACACCATATTCTTACAGTAAGGTAAGCTAGAGAAAGAAAATGCTCTTAAGAAAACCATAAGGAAACCACATTCCAGTGCTGGTTTGTAGTTACCAACTCTGTGCATTGACTGTTTTGGATCCTCACTCTTGTCATTTAGGTCAATATTCTTGTCCTTTATTCACACACACATAGGCGCACATACACCAGCTCACTCCTTCGTGTTTGCCTTTGAACTATTTGTTTTCTCAGTCCTTCTCATCTTCTCTTCCTTCCCTACCACCACCACCACCAGCAGCAAGAGCTCACAGAGCTGCTTCCTAGGGATGGCCTCAGAGACACCCTTGATGAAGATGTGGGAGGAGGTCACATGTCCTATCTGCCTGGACCCCATGGATACGCCCGTGAGCATCGAATGTGGCCATGGCTTCTGCCAGGAATGCATCTCTGAAGTGGGGAGAGGGGTGGGGAGCGTGTGCCCTGTGTGCAGGCACAAGTTCCTGCTCAGAAACCTCCGGCCCAACCGGCAGCTCGCCAACTTGGTGGAGAACCTTAAGCAGATGGGCCAGAATACCAAGGAGGGCACACAGGGGGAGAAGTGTGCTGTGCACGGAGAGAAGCTTCACCTGTTCTGTGAGGAAGATGGAAAGGCCCTTTGCTGGGTGTGTTCCAAGTCCCAGAAACACCGTGACCATGTGCTGCTGCCGCTAGAGGAGGCTGCTCTTGAGTACCAGGTGAGATGTTCCAGAGGAGCTGGGGCTTTGGTGAATGCCTTGTTCCCTAGAGCTGGGGTTGAAGACTCACCTGTGGAATTGAGGTGTTGGGGAAATTCTGTGTCTAAGGGGAGCAGCTAAGAGCTCAGCACTACCTGCTCACTCCCCCTGGGGCTGGGGATATGCTGAGGGAATGCTACAAGTATCATATTTCCTTATAGTCTCTTAGTTAATCAGGACCATCTAGTGCACCCACCCCCAACCTGGCTGGCTCTTTAAAAAAAAAAAATGCCATCTGTTTCTTATAAATGCCCCCACCCCCACCCCGGTGGCCTAGGGGTTAAGCCTGAGCCTGTCACCACTAGGGCCTGAAGTCAATCCCCAACCACGGATCTGACCCATATATGGTGCAGCACACCTCTCCTCTGTTGCCCCACTGTTCCCCTCAGCAGTATATTTTAGTAAATCTGCCTTTTCTGCTCCCCACTCTCTCTAGCAAATCCTCTCACTTACCCCTGCACTTACACACACACACACACACACACACACACACACACACACA